GACTGATGCAGCCACTGTGGAGAAAAGTATGGAGTTTCCTCAAAAAACTGAAAATGGAACTCCCATTTGACCCAGTAATCCCACTTCTAGGACTATATCCTAAGAAACTAGAAACACCAATCAGAAAGGATATATGCACTCCTATGTTCATAGCAGCACAATTTATAATAGCTAAGATTTGGAAACAGCCTAGGTGCCTGTCAGCAGATGATTGGATCAGAAAACTATGGTATTATATATCTACCTAATGGAATATTATGCTGCCATAAGAAAGAAGGAATTTTTAAAAATATATATTTTATTGATTTTTTACAGAGAGGAAGAGAGAGGGACAGAGAGTTAGAAATATCAATGAGAGAGAATCATCGATCAGCTGCCTCTTGCACACCCCCTACTGGGGATGTGCCTGCAACCAAGGTACATGCCCTTGACTGGAATCAAACCTGGAACTTTTCAGTCCACAGGCTGACGCTCTATCCACTGAGCCAAACCGGTCTCGGCAAGAAGGAATTCTTATCATTTGCAACAACCTGGATGGAATTAGAGAACATTATGCTTAGTGAAATAAGCCAATCAATGTAAGAAAAACACCACATGATCTCTCATTTATCGATAATACAAAACATTATAAACTGATGAACAAAAAGATAGATACAGAGACAGTAAAGCGACAGACAGACTGTCAAATTACATCGGGAAGGTTAGGGAGAGGTGGGAGAGATAAGAGATTAATGGAAGGACTTGTATGCATGCATATAAGCATGGATGCAAAACTCTGAGTGGTAAGGGCATATATGGGAGTTGGCGGGGGGGCAATGGTAAGATATGTACACATATAATACCTTAATAAAAAAATGAAGAAGAAAAAATAAAAAGAAATAAAAAGAAAGCGGTTCAACATTTTAATGACCAGTTTGGCAGTATAGTGCTTATGGCTGGCTATCATTCCAGATATAGGGATTATGTACTTTTGTCTGCAAAAAGCATTTTTTTCTGCTGAAAAAGTCCCCTCCCCCATTTAAGCAATTCTATCCTATATAATCTATCTATACTAATAAAAGGGTAATATGGTAATTAGACAGAGTCAATTGGCCATCTTTTGGAGATCTAACTTCCTTCCAGACAAAGCCATGGTGGTAAGGGTCAAGGCAGAGGCAGTTAAGGGCAATCAGGCCGACATAGGAGGGCACTTGGAGATGAGATCAGGCCAGCAGAGGAGGGCAGTTAGGGGGAATCAAGGATGGCAGGGGAAAGAAGTTAGGGCATTTAGGCCAGCAGAGAAGAGCAGTTGGGGTCAATCAGGTCAGCAGGGGAGCAGTTATGGATGATCATGTAGGCAGTCAGAAGTGGTTATGGCCAATCAGGCAGGAAGGCAGAGGAAATTAGGGAAAGCTAAAGAGAAAATAACTTAATAAATACAACTTAATAAAAGGAAGATAAATGATCATGCAGACAGAGAGGTTAGGGGTGATCAGGCAGGCAGACAGAGTAGTTAGGGGTGATCAGGCAGGCAGGCTGGTAAGTGGTCAGAAGCTAGTAGTCCCAGATTGCAAGAGGGATGTCCAACTGCCAGTTTAGGCCTGATCCCTGTGACAGTTGGACATCCCCCAAGGGGTCCCCAATTGGAGAAGGTGCAGGCTGGGCTGAGGAAACCCCCTCCCCAGGCTCACCCCCTGTGCATGAATTTCATGCAACTGGCCTTTAGACTATAATAATAAAAGCATAATATGCTAATTAGACCAGATATCCTTCTGGATGACCTTCTGGACAAAGCCGGGGCTGTGAGGAAAGCCTGGATCCCAGTGTCTGCTGGTGGCTGGAGGGAAGCCCAGATCCCAAGTGTCGGATGGAATCTGGTGCCAACAGCCTCAGGAAAGAAGGCCTAGACTTGCACAAATTCTGTGCATCAAGCTTCTAGTAGATAATAATAAGATAAAACAGATATATAAGAAAATGTATTACAAGGAAAATAAACACATCACAAAAGAGATATAAGCAATGTTTGAAGAATTTTTTAAAAGAAATGATCGATTCTCGTTGATATAAATCAAGTAAATGTTTTATGGAGAAGGTTCTATTTCAAAGACAGATTTTTAATATGTGAAGATAGGCAGGGAAAGGAAGGATGTTCCAGATATAGGAACCAGAAATGAGATACCATTTCATACCACAAACAATGGCTATAATAAAGAAAATGGACAAGTGCTGGAGAGAAGTGAAGACACTAGAACTCTCATACACTGCTTATGGGAGTGTAAAATGTTGCAGATATTTTGGAAAACAGTTTGGCAGGAATCTTTTTTTGTAATGCTAAACACAGAGTTACCACATGACCTGGCAATTCTACCCCAAGGTATGTAGTATCTAAGAGAATTCAAACACATGTCTACAGAAAAGTGAAGACACAAACATCCATACAGCATCATCATAAAAGCCAAAAGGTAGAAACAACCCAAATGTCTGTCAACTAATGAATGGATAAACAACGTTCTCCACAGAATAGCAACAATAAGGAATGAAGTACAATATATGCTATAACAATAGGAATGAAGTACAATATGAATGATCTTTGCAAATATGCCAATGAAGAAGCCTGTCAAGTGAAAGGACACGACTATCTGATTCCATTTATATAAAATTTCCAGAACAGGTAAGTCTGTAGAAATTGAAAGTTGATTCATGGCTACCAGAAGCTGAGAGAGGAGAAATAGGGAGCTCTTCAGACTGCTAAAGAGCATGGAATTTCTCTTTTGGATGATTAAAGGATTATAGATTAGACAGTGAAGATCACTGAACAATTCTAAATATTCTAAAATCTATTAAAGTGTATACTTCAAAAGGGAAAATTTCATGCTATCTCAATTATATCCATTACAGCCTGTTCTCTTTTTTTAAGCTATTAAATATTCTACATCTTGTTCTAGATAATGGTTAGATGGGTGTATTCATATGTAAAAAATTTCAAACCATATACTTAAGTAAAGAATTTTTTGTTCTTTACTATGTGTATCTTATCTTATCTAATAAAAGAGTAATATGCAAATTGACCACACCTTTGCTATACCAACAAGCCACACCCACTAGCCAATCAGAGCAAGTTTGCAAATTAATCCCAACCAAGATGGCTGTGGCCACAGAGAGCAGGAGGGAGGCTTGGGTTTCTCTGTCAATGGAAGAAACCAAGGTTTCTGCCTGCCCTAGCTGGCCTTAGCCTCCATTCAAGGCTACAAAGTTTCAATTATAGGAGGTAAACAAATCCAAACATTAGGCTTGGCTCTTCTCCAGGGTACAAAGTTTCAACTGTAGAAGGTAAATAAATTTCAGATACTAGGGCATCCACTTGGGGTGCCTGAGGATATGGTCGGCCTGCAAACCACCACAGGCCCCTCCCTCAGGCCACCCCAGGTCTTAAGGGATCCCCCACCCTAATCCGAGACACCCTTCAGGTAAAACCAGCTGGTCCCCACCCATGCACCAGGCCTCTATCCTATCTAATAAAAGAGTAATATGCAGATTGTCCATCACTCCAACACACAAGATGGCTGCCCCCATGTGGTCAAAGATCCTGCCCCCATGTGGACACAAGATGGCCACCACAAGATGGCCAGCAGGGAGGGCAATTGTGAGGCACCAGGCCTGCAAGGGAGGGCAGTTGGGGGTGATCAACCCTACAGGGGAGGGCAGTTAGGGGTGACCATGCTGGCAGAGGAGGGAAGTTGAGGGCAAACAGGCTGGCAGGGGAGCAGTTAGACATAAATCAGGCTGGCATGGGAGTGATCAGGCTGGCAGGCAGAAGCAGTTAGGGGCAATCATAAAGAAAGGCAGGCGAACAGTTGGGAGCCAGCAATCCTGGATTGTGAAGAGGGGTCCCAGATTGGAGAGGGAGCAGGCTGGGCTGAGGGACACCACCACCTGCTCCCCCCATGCACAAATTTTGTATACCAGGCCTCTAGTACCTTAATAAACAACTAAAAAAGGTACAGTGATAGAAACCAGAAAAGTGGTTACCCCTAGGGAAGACTAGACATGAGAAAAACTACTCAGGAGATAGAAGTATTCTATCTTTAACTGGCAGGCAGCTACATGGATTTTGCTACAGGATAAAATTCATTTAAAGATTTCAGCACTTTTCTAAATATACATATTACCTCAATTAAAAGGTTTTTTAAAAAAGGAAGAGGCCTTTTCCTTAGAATGGACAGGCAGAAATAGTGTAAAAAATCACATACCTGCCACTCTCAATTTTTCACTGGCCAATAGCTCAGTGTTTCTATCAGATCAAACAATCAGGTACTGGGCTCTCCAGTCACTGGCTGCTTGATAAAAGATGAATCAGGAATCTCAGCTCCCGGAAAATGAAAAGAGAAAGTCCTTGAAACACAACTCTTCCCATGTTCCTAGATCAGGTCTAAAGAAAAACTCACACCACCAATCAAGATGAAAAAGCCATTCAAATGTTATGATTAAATACAATCAGTGCTGAAAATAAATGATACTTTTACTGTTTCTAATCTCTTTGTTGTACACTGTACCTGACACATAGAAATCAACTTATTGATTTCTAAGATTTTAGGATTTTTTCATTCTGGCATCTCTGAAATTAAGAGGCATTTCAAATTTGATGGCATGTTATAATTTATTCTTATTTTCCCTCATTGGTACACAAAACAATGGTGTGAATAACTAGAGGCCCAGTGCATGAAGGGGGATTGGAGGAATCCCTCAGCCCGGCCTGCACCCTCTCACAGTCTGGGACCACTGGCTCCTAACTGCTCACCTGCCTACCTACCTAATCGCCCATAACCACCTCTGCCTATCTGCCTAATCGCCTCTAACTGCCCTTCTCTATGGGCCTGATTGCCTCAAATCACCCTCCCCTGCCAGCCTGATGGCCCCTAACCACCCTCCCCTGCTAGCCTGATTAGCATATTACACTTTTATTAGAATAGATGGCATTTTAGATTTGATGAATATGAGAGGTGAATGGAGTGGGAAATTACCTGAATAGGAATGCTGTGTGCCCTCACTGGAAATGGATGAAGTTCCTCCAATAGCAGTAATTCCCTCCCTCTTGTTAATTATTTTCCGGAATGTTTTGCTGATGTCTTTGCTTTTTAACTCTTGCATTAGCTGGAATGAGATAAAAGTAAAATAAGCCTTCATCAGATAATCATAAAAAACCTTGCAACATGAAGGAAAATTATTTAGACTTCTTTATTTGGAATGACACCAAAATAAATACTAACAAATAACACACAGGTCATTTTACCAATAACATAAAATGGACAAATTTTTGTATCCCAGCCACTAGAAAGAAATTTTGTTATAATAAATTTAAATTGAACACATTGAAATTATTCTTCTAAATTTTCCATGAAACTAAAGAATAGCTATATGCTAGAGAGAGTTATGTTTTCTCCTCCTTCTTCTTCTTCTTCTTCTTCTTCTTCTTCTTCTTCTTCTTCTTCTTCTTCTTCTTCTTCTTCTTCTTCTTCTTCTTCTTGTCCTCACCCCAAGACATGCTTAGAGAGAGGAAGGGAGAAAGAGAGGGATAGAAAATAAAGAGAGAGGGGGAAGGAGAGGGATGGAGAGAAAAACATCAGTCAGAGTTTTTGGATGCAGTCCAACTGGAGGCAAACCTGAAACCCAGGTGTGTGCCTTGATTAAGAATGGAAATGTCAACCTTTTGGTAGATAGAAAGACACCAAACCAACTGAGCCACACCGGCTGGCTACATACGAGTTTAAAATGCCTTAATGAAGGTGTTGTCTTGGCTGGACATCTCCAATATACATACATGTGTCAAAATAACATAAGCTTAGAGAAATAGAAAATAACATAAGCTTAGAGAAACACACTCCCAACCACCCTTTCACTGGATTTTCTAGAGGTCAGTTATACTGAATTCAACCAGTTCTTCAAGTAGCACCAGAATGAGTTTTTAAAATGCAGACCTGATCCTACTCTATTATTCCCATATCACTGGATTAATATTGCACTTAGGCTAAAAACAAACACCTTGCAGGACCCTGAAGGACCTGACCCTGACTTACTTCTCTAGGGAATTCCTTTTCCCTTAACCACCTCAGCTCCAGCCACTCAGCTCCTTTTCCCCAGGTGAGGAATAATTAGCATATTACCATCCCTATAGTATACAGAGCCTCCACACAGGATGTCACCTCTGCCTGCCTCACACATTATTCATTCCCCTCTCCTTCCCTTTTATCTGTTTAGCATTTTTCTTCAGATCTCTGCTTAGCCTTTATAGCTTCTGGGACACCTTCCCTGAGTCCCTTGGTTCTCCAGCCTCCCCACCAAATTCAATTCCTTCTACTATAAACTCTTAAGGAGACCTGTACTGCTGTCATTGCAATTGTCACAGTTTTTTTCTATCCATTTTGTGATTCTGTCTTCCCCACAACATGCAAACTCCACAAAAGCAGGGACCATATCATTGTTTAGCACATTATTCGCAGTGCCTAGCAGAGCTCCTGGCAAGAAAGGGGCTTGAATATTTGCTTAACCAATAAAAAATGCAAAAGCAGATAATTTACATTTCATAGGTGTTTATTTAATTGTATTAACATTTACATTTTTCATAAGAAAAATGTAGTCATGGTGGTAATGATAAGAAGAAGCAACAAACAGCCTTTGCTCAACTGCCAATTGGTTGAGTCATATGTTATTTTTCATCTTGTTTAGTTCCTTGAGCCTTGAGGTAGTTTAACAATGAAACAATGCTCTCAGAGCATCAACATTTATTTTTTTATTTTTTTATTTTAAATATATTTTATTGATTTTGTACAGAGAGGAAGGGAGAGAGATAGTTAGAAACATCGATGAGAAAGAGTCATCTATCAGCTGCCTCTTGCACACCCCCTACTGGGGATATGCCCGCAACCAAGGTACATGCCCTTGACCAGAATCGAACCCGGGACCCTTCAGTCCCCAAGCCAACACTCTATCCATTGAGCCAAACCGGTCTCAGCAGAGCACAACATTTAAATGGCCCTACAGAAACTGAGGTGTAATTGACCAAAAGGAAACAACCAGTTTCTAGAAGATATTGCTTCCACGCCTTAGCTATTTCAGCTAAAAACAAACAAACAAACAAAAAAACCACTCCATTTCTCAAGACCAAATAATAGCATTAAATATTCTGCACACAGAGTCAATCATTGAGCAATGAATGCAACTATAGTTTTACTAGGGTATAAAACTGTTAATTGTACTCTAAGCCAGACTTCCATTTGAGAATGACTTTTTCTTTTGTTTTATTATTTATTTTATTAATTATTTTTGGACATCACTGTAGTTATTATCCTCATCAATTTTAAAACAGCACCTTTTCTGGTCTCTGCAGCTATATTTAAGCAAAGAGACAATGAAATTATTAAAATTTTTCTCAAAGCAATATATTCAGTAGCCAAGACAGGATTCAATTACTTACGGAGACAAATTCTTCAAAACTGATTTTGCCATCTTTGTTGTTGTCAGCAACTGCTAGAATTTTCTCCACGATCTCTCGGACTTTGTAACCAGGCAGAGGAAGGCTTGCTTCCTTAAACAGGTCCTGAAGTTCATAGTCACTGACATACCCACTGTTGTCAATATCTGTAAGATAAATTATGAGCTGTCAAATATCAATTGTTCTCTGTTGGAGAGGTGCATTCAGATGGCTGTTTGGGAGATTCACGGGCAGGCAGAACCTTTTAGGTTTGTTTTGCTAGTGGGAGTAATATTTTCTCCTGCACCTGAACTGTGCAATGCAAAAAACAAAACAAAAAAACAAAACAAAACAAAAAAAACAACAACAAAAAAAAACACTCATATTCAAATACACTTTTTCCCCAGAGATTTAGGACTACCATACATATTTTAAGTGGATATTACAGATACTGCCCTAATAGATGAAGTAGCACTCAGGTGTAGCACATGACTAAGCTTACAAGAACTAAGTATTTGGAAGTCTCAAATATCTAGAAGAAATACAGCATCAATGATCACAAGGAAAAACCCACCAGACTTCAACTTCTTTACGGAATTTACAGAAGGGGTCTGCTGGACCCACATTTCATATAAACTATGTATGTGTAAAATACACATAAGGCATTTCTGGCCTACATTTCTGTTGGTGCAGTCCTGTTTCATGCATTAATAATTCACTGCCTCTTCATAATATATTGATGATACCATTATGTAGGCTGAATCATGTTGGATATTATTTTGAGTTTAAATGTACAAGGAATAATTTCACACCTATGTGGACTTTTGGAAATAAGTTCCCTAGTATTTTCATATCATCAATTAAATACCCTTCCCTGGGTTTTCCCTAGAGACTGCATGTCACTTGTTGACACAGAACAAGTGAAAGAAAGCACTTCTGCCAAGAGTTGGCAACAGAGCTCTGGAGTGTTTGGTTAGTTGCCGTGCTATACCTTGTATAGGCTCTCATGGCACATTTAATAATAGTTGCTTTGGTTCATATAATTTTTTCCTTTCAGTAAAAGAGCTGCCCTCACTATAACTAAATTAATTATAAAGATAGAAACTTTTCAAGTCTCATACATGAGTTTCCAGAATTAATACTCTATACTCTTTAGAACATTGAAAATTTTCTGAACTAAAAGGTATCAATAACAACAATTTTACTGTATCTCAGAAGTCAGTTAACAAGCTAAATTGCTTGCCATTGTAGTAATTACTACTGCTTTCTTTGGAATCATATAGAAATTATTTATTATATCATCATATACTCATTATTTAGTATATCATCAATTCAGAATTGTTTCCTATAATTCCACAATGGAAAAATAAACTAGGCTGGCTTACTTCTGTGCTGTGGTAGGAGTACTATAAAATAAATATTAGCTCTGTCCAGTTGGCTCAGTTAGCTAGAGTGTCGAACTATACATCAAAAGATTGTGGGTTCGGTTCCCAGTCAGAGCACATACCTAGGTTGCAGATTCAATTTCCTGCACGTAGAGGCACCTGATTGTCTCTATCTCTGTTTCTCAAAATCAATAAACATATTCTTGGATGAGAATTAATATATGTATGACTGAGAAAAAGTTATTTATCTGCAACCATCATGCTAAACTAATAAGAATAGATTAAGGTTAGGACTCTAAAGACAGAAATATGTGTGTGCTTAAATCCCAGCTCCATTCCTATGACCTCTGTGGTTTGGGCTCGAAGTGGCAAGAAATACTAGATACTTTTTTATAAGCATCTACTAGAGGCCCAGTGCATGAAATTAGTGCTGGGGGGCGGGGGGCGTAGGAGCATGTCCCTCAGCCCAGCCTGAACCCTCTCCAATCTGGAGCTCCTCAAGGGATGTTAAATGGGCAGTCGGACATCCCTCTCACAATCCAGGACTGCTGGCTCCCAACCAATCACCTATCTGCCTGCCTGATTATCCCTAACCGCTTCTGCTGCCAGCCTGATCACCCCCTAACCTCACCCCTGCCAGCCAGATTGATGTCTAACTGCTCCCCTGCTGGCCTGATTGCCCCTAACTGCCCTCCCCAGCTGACCATCTTGTGGTGACTACCTTGGTCCACATGGGGGCAGCCATCTTTGACCACATGGGGGCAGCCATCTTGTGTGGAGAGACAGTCAATTTGCATATTATTCTTTTATTAGGTAGGATTCTGTGCCAATATCTTTTAAGAACTTGATTTATCGCCAAAACTGGTTTGGCTCACTGGATAGAGCGTTGGCCTGCAGGCTGAAAGGTACCAGGTTCGATTCCAGTCAAAGGCATGTACCTAGGTTGCGGGCACATCCCCAGTAGGGGGGGTGTAGGAGGCAGCTGATCGATGATTCTCTCTCAACAATGTTTCTAACTCTCTGTCCCTCTCTCTTCCTCTCTGTAAAAAATCAATAAAATATATATTTTTTAAAAACAAGAACTTGACTTATCTCATGAAATCCTTACAACCTTGAGTTAATATTACTAGTCTACATTTAAAAATGAGGATATCAAGGTTTAGCTTAAATAACTATAAATATCACATTTTCAAAAGAAACAGGACTTTCCTACAACTCAACAACAACAACAACAAAAACAAGTGACCTGATTTAAAAATGGGCATAGACATGGGGATGTTAAGTACAGTAGAGGCAGAAGAAAACCAAGGTGGCAGTGTAGATAAAGATGGGTACTTGCTGCCCTCACAAGCATATCAAAATTCCAATTAAAATACTAGTACAGAATAACCATGAGTCAGAACCTCCTGAAAGCTGGATGAATGGAAATCCTATAACTAAAGAAGTAAAGAAGAAAGCACATTAAGACTGGTAGGAGGGGCAGAAGCACCAACAGGCTTGTGGCATTTATTTTAATCAGGAGGGATATCTCTACTGTGGAGGCCACCTTTGAGGAGCAAGAGGTCCCAGTTCCACACCAGATCCCTGAGCTCAGGGTTCCAGTGCTGAGAAGAAAAGCTATAAAAAAAAAAAAGTGGAGATTATGGCTGAGTGACAAAAAGGCTTCTGGAGACCCAGGAATTCCCTCTTAAAGGCTGGTGCACAGGCTTACTTGGACTCAGTCCCTCTGGGCTCCAACACTGGAATGGCCACTTAAAAGGAACCTGGGACAATCAGGAAGGAATTGGATTATCTGGCATCAGGGCAAGAACTCAAGGGGGATTTTTCCCAGAGAGTAGTGCTCTCAGGGGTCACTGTTCCAGTGCTGGGACCACCCCAGTTTCAGAGCTGACTGGCAGCCATATCGGAGTTTCCATCAGTATGGCCCACACTATTCATTCTGCCCTCATGACTACTTGGGATCCTGGCCAATAAAATGTGCAGCCCCATCCAAATTGTTTGTAGGAGCTTTTCCATATTAAAAAGTATCTATTATTTCTTGTCACATCAAACCCAAACCACAAAGGTCATAGGGATAGAGCTGGGATTTAAGCACACACATATTTCTGTCTTTAGAGTCCTAACCTTAATCTATTCTTATTAGTTTAGCATGATGGTTAGCAGGTAAATAACTTTTTCTCAGTCATATATATATTCTCATCCAAGAATATGTTTATCGATTCAGGCTTCAAACTTTTTAAAAATCTCACAAATAAGCAGCAGCTGGTGTCAACATGAGGCATACCTATAATAAAAGGCTTAAGACCTAGCACTAGCATCAGCCTGCCTTGCTTCACAGCTCTGCCTTTCCTGGGCACTTCCAAGCCCAATACAAGTAGCATCCATTTGCAAATCTCTCTGTAGCTCCTGCTGAGTAACCCTAGTCAGTAGTTGACTTTGTACCTCCCAGGAGGACCCAGAGCCAGTGCACCTGATGAACAGCTTCAGACCATATCAGATTACTACTCTACACATCCACAAGTAACACACTCAAGGGGCAGACTCAGTGAACACCAAAGCCCCACTGAAGCAAGTTCTGCTCCATAGAGTAATTGCAACTAGTCTTCACAGCTAATTTTCCTGGAGGTCAGTTCATCCCAGTAATGCCAACAGCAATCGAGGCTCAAATACTACAAAACAGTGCACCCAGGCCACATAGGGGCTCACCTAGAGTGCCCAGCTCAGGTGACTACACAAGGCCACTACCAATTCCAGGGGGAAGTTTTTTTTTCATCATTATTTCTTCAAATAATGATTTCTATATGCAATTATTGATAGAAATAATACTACACAAGGCCACTACCAATTTCAGGATACATAGCAGTCTACCTAATACATTGAAACAAATACAAGGAAGCAGCCAAAATGTGTAGACAAAGAAACATGTCACAAATGAAAGAAATGGAAGCAAGCGAACTACTGGATACAGAGTTTAAAACAATGATTAAAAGGCTGCTCAAGAATCTTAATGAGAGCTTCACTGGAACCTACAAGAGCTTCAAGGGACTTACTAAGACTTTCAAGGATCTTAATGAGAATGTCAAAGACATAAATAAGAACTAATCAGAAATTAAGCATATGCTAACTGAAATAATGAATAATTTACAGGGATTCAACAATAGAGTAGCAGATTTAGAGAATTATATCAATGATTTGGAATATGAGAAAGCAAAAAACACCTAATTAGAAGAGCATAAAGAAAAAATAATCCAAAAATATAAAGATAATATAAGGAGCCTCTGGGACAACCTCAAGGGTACCAAAATTTGCATTAAAGGGGTACCAGATGGAGAAGAGGGAGCAAGATATTGAAAATCCATTTGAAGAAATAATGATAAGAAAAAACAAACTTCCCCCACCTGGTGAAAGAAATAGACTTACAAGTCCAGGAAGTGCAGAGACTCCCAAACAAGAGGAACCCAAAGAGGCCCATACCAAGACACATCATAATTAAAATGCCAAGAGTTAAAGACAAAGAGAGAATCTTAAAATCATCGAAAGTAAAACAATTAGTTACATACTAGAGAGCACCATATGACTGCTAGCTGATTCCTCACCAGAAACTTTGTAGACCAGAAGGGAGTGGCAAAAAATATTCAAAGTGATGAATATCAAGGACTACAACCAAGATTACTCTTTACAGCAAAGATATAATTTAGAATTAAAGGTCAGATAAAGAACTTTACAGAAAAGAAAAAGCTAAAAGAGCTCATCACCACCAAACCAGTGTTGCATAAAATGTT